TCTTGGTAGATTTGCAGTGGTCTGATACTCCTTCCATTTCAATATGACTGCTTGCACAGTGCTCCTTGGGATGTTTTAAAGCTTGGGAAATCTTTTTGTATCCAAATCCAGCTTTAAACTTCTCCACAACAGTATCTCGGACCTGCCTGGTGTGTTCCTTGGTCTTCATGATGTTCTCTGTGCTTTGAACAGAACCCTGAGACTATCACAGAGCAGGTGCATTTATACGGAGACTTGATTACACACAGGTGGATTCTATTTATCATCATCAGTCATTTGGGACAACATTGGATCATTCATAGATCCTCACTGAACTTCTGGAGTGAGTTTGCTGCACTGAAAGTAAAGGGGACGAATAATATTGCACACACCACTTTTCAGTTTTTTATTTGTTAAAGTTTTACACATCCAATAAATTTAATTCCACCACGATTTTGTCCCACTTGTTGTTGACGTTTCACAAAAAATTAAAATTTTATATCTTTGTTTGAAGCCTGAAATGTGGCAAAAGGTTAAAGTTGAAGGGGGCCGAATACTTTCGCAAGGCTTTGTAAACGGGCAGTTTTAACAACCATCTGATGTAACTTCAGATTGCTCCCCAGGCGCTTGCATAGCTGCCCACTGCTCCACCTGAGTGTATCTCAGGTGTGATGGGTTAAATGCAGAGAAGTAATTTTGCCATTGTGTGGCAACATAGAATCATGACAACACATAGCACTTATTATTATATATGTACACTGCCTGGCCAAAAAAAGAAGTAATCACCTGGATTTAACTAAGCAAATGGGTACGAGCCTCCTATTGGATAGTTACTGCATGGTCGATTTATTTTTCAGCTGCATCAAGCTACTTAACCCCAACTGATGCAATGAATTGCTTCTCATTTCTTAAACAACCATGTTGAAAGACATCGCGTGGTCGAGGAAAAGATGTCAGTCTGTTTGTGAAGGGTCAAATCTGTCATCTGGGCCTTTCTGTCATCGTCTGCTGCCTTTCTCATGACTACGGACAAACTTTTTGTCATTTAGAAACCGTATCAGTTCGGCATAGTCGTCTTCTTCCATGGCATCTGCATTCTGCCTGACTTTACCGACTATGACGTCTTTCAAGCCTTACAGCCGTAGGTGACCCAAAAACGTATTCTCCACAACTCAGTTTCTTTCATCTATATCAAAGCATAACCTTTGCCATCAACTTCCCGTCTCCCTCCTGGGCCCATAACTTGTTGGCTCTGTCATCATAAGGGCAGGATAAGTTGAAGAAAATCACACTAAAATATCCATTTGCACCACAAGGTAAAACCATCTATCCCATTTTATTCTAATCAATGTCAGCTGTGCACAAATCTTACATCTCCTATAATTCTAATCAGTTTATTTATATAGTGCCAAATCACAACAAAGTTGTCTCAGGGCACTGAACAGAAACATTCACATACATAAATGCCAATTAGTAAAATTCTCTATCTAAAGAATCCAGCAGACAAGTTGAATCTTGGTTTCGTTGCAGTCTCCCATCTTGAGAGAAACACAGAATGGTAGGTCCAGGTGTACCTGAAAGACAAAAACACATGTCATGGATAGAAAAAATAATTACAAGTACAAAACTGGTTGAGAAGAGTAAGTAAAGACAGTAGCAGAGTGAAAAGTGTGGTCAGTTTGTCCTCTAGCAGTCTTATCGCAGCATAACTAAGGGACAGCTCAGGAAACCCAATCTGACCCTAACTATAGGAATTAGCAAAAAGGAAAGTCTTAAGCCTAGTTTTAAAACTGGATAATGTGTCAGCCTCACGGACAGAGATTGGAAGTTGGTTCCACAAGAGAGGAGTCTGATAACTGAAAGATCTTCCTCCCATTCTGGTTTTGGAAACTCTATGAACCGCGAGTAAACCTGCAGCCTGAGAGCGAAGTGCTCAGTTAGGAAAATATGGAACAATAAGATCTGTAAAATAAGATGGAGCCAGGTTGTTGAGAGCTTTGTAGGTTAGAAGTAAGATTTTGAATTCTATTTTGGATTTGACACGGAGCCAATGGAGAGAAACTAAAACTGGAGAGATGGATGGTTTGGATGAGGTTATTATTTTTGACAATTCAGAGAGCTCAACAGGACAAAAACTGTCCAAACACAAATCGGGCTCTAGTGAAATTTTTTAAGTTGTCTCATTTGACAGGGGACTAGAGATAGCAGAAGGAAGGATAGTTTGAATTTTCTCTCTAATTGAAATAATTTTATTTATTAAGAATCTCATGAAGTCATCACTACTTTATAGTTGTAGGGATACATGGTTCAAAAGAAATGGGACTTAATTAGTCTAGCAATAGTACTAAATGGAAACCTAGGGTTATT